CGTTACTGTACCACCAACTGAATTTTGCTCTGCCTAGAGTACCCCTGAAGTACCCCCTTATGTGCATTTTACCAGTAAGCCTATGGTCTCATGAGTCTTCTCAAGTACCTCCTGTGGATAGGCCAAGTACCCCCGGGGGTCCTAGTACCCCTGGTTGGGAACCACTGGTATACATCGTCTAACGAAATGCTTACTTGCAGGTTCCTTCTCGACAATGCAAAAACAATAGGAAATAATAAAAGATAAGAATACGAACATAAAGTAAATGGCTCAGTAGAATAGAATAAACATTTTAACATAAGTATAATACAGGAAGGCACAAATTATAGTCCAATATTTACACATGTTTTGAGGAAGGGGGATTGAGGGGCAAGTGTTTAAATTGTGCAGTATTTAGCAATAATAATAAGAGTCTGGTAGCAGCAGTTGTGATGTGTGTGTAGCATGAATGTATATGTGTGTGTGTGAGTATATATCTGTGTGGGTGTGTGCGTGAGTGAGTGCACATGTGCTAAGGTGCGGAGATTCAGTGCAGGTGGTCAGTCCAGTTCATGTGTTCAGCAGTCTGATGGCTTGTAGATAGAAACTGTCTCTGAGGCTGTTGGTATTCTTACCCAGGAGGTGGCCAGAGAGACCTAGAAGCCTGGGGCTTGAGTTTCAGCATAGGGGGGGCCGGGAGGGGAGAGATATGGGTATGGGTAGCAGGAAGGCTACACCCCCAGCCAATTCATTTCCTCATTACATGGTTGGGGGAGATCTTCCAATAGGTGAGAGAGAAAGGGACAGGGGATGAGATGGATGGCGTGGATGTGTGGACAGAGGGAACGATGGATAGAGGAAGTTCAGACAGATTGAAAGATAACGGGATGAGGGATATGTGAGTGATGACTATACAAACACACATTGAAGCTTGAGTAAAGACAGACAGACAGACAGACAGATGGAGAGGCTGGTCAGTGCCGTTGTGGACACAAAAAGCAGACAGACTGGTTGACAGAGAGATGGATGGACACAGTGATAATTAAATGGATAAATAAACAAAATATTGTAACTTTAGTCCCCAACTCCCAAGACGCACTCTCCATGACCTGCACCTGCCAGTAAGAAGACGTCTATATGGAACGATTGTTTAAGGAAAGTAAGCAGACACAGTTCTCAACAACCCCTACTACATACAGACTCTTTCTCACACTCAAACATACACACCTGTCTTTCTGCTGTTTCTCCCTAGGCCTCCACCACCCTGGTTCCACACTTGAGTGCACACAGGAATGCAAGGGGAATGACACAATTCCTTAAGTGCTGAAACCTGATTGGCCCAGTCTCTTATCTCCTCAACAAAGGCCCTAATGGATGGGCATTCAGGTAGGGTTTAAAGGTCACAAAGACACTGTCAACACTAGAAACCAGAGCTAGCTCACTACCCATCTCTCACACACACACTTACCCATATGCACGCACACAGACCAGGACCGTCTATGTTGAAAATATCAAATTATAAAACCATTCCTAACTGGGACACTGCACTTCTTGTATTAGTGTGGGGAATTAAGAGCAGGACTTAATGGCAGATTTTAGCAGAAAGACCCCCTATTTTAAGTGTGGGTTTGCTGGGGCAGTTGGAGAGGGCATTTATTGTTTTACATTGGAGGAAGGGTCAGAGTTCAGAGGGGTCATCCTATCATTGTTTATCTCTGTGACACACTTCCTCTGAAACAGCCGAGCATAGGGCACAGGAGGGCCATGGGACCTGGGAATGACTCATCAATAACACAGATAATCAAAACACATACATTAGTTTGAAAGCTTTGAAAAACCAGACACCTAGAGGAAGAGTTGAGAGTCTGTGTGAGTAAGCCTGTTGTGAGCTCTCTCGGGGCTGTTCTGACTGCTCTGAGGCTGTGGCTCTGAGGCTGTGGCTCTGAGGCTGTGGCTCTGGGGCTGTGGCTCTGGTGCTGTGGCTCTGGGGCTGTGGCTCTGAGGCTGTGGCTCTGGGGCTGTGGCTCTGAGGCTGTGGCTCTGGGGCTGTGGCTCTGAGGCTGTGGCTCTGGGGCTGTGGCTCTGAGGCTGTGGCTCTGAGGCTGTGGCTCTGAGGCTGTGGCTCTGGGGCTGTGGCTCTGAGGCTGTGGCTCTGGGGCTGTGGCTCTGGGGCTGTGGCTCTGAGGTTGTGGCTCTGAGGCTGTGGCTCTGAGGCTGTGGCTCTGGGGCTGTGGCTCTGAGGCTGTGGCTCTGGGGCTGTGGCTCTGGGGGCTGTGGCTCTGAGGCTGTGGCTCTGAGGCTGTGGCTCTGAGGCTGTGGCTCTGGGGCTGTGGCTCTGAGGCTGTGGCTCTGGGGCTGTGGCTCTGGGGCTGTGGCTCTGAGTCTGGGGCTGTGGCTCTGAGGCTGTGGCTCTGGGGCTGTGGCTCTGGGGCTGTGGCTCTGGGGCTGTGGCTCTGAGGCTGTGGCTCTGAGGCTGTGGCTCTGAGGCTGTGGCTCTGGGGCTGTGGCTCTGAGGCTGTGGCTCTGGGGCTGTGGCTCTGAGGCTGTGGCTCTGGGGCTGTGGCTCTGAGGCTGTGGCTCTGAGGCTGTGGCTCTGGGGCTGTGGCTCTGGGGCTGTGGCTCTGAGTCTGGGGCTGTGGCTCTGAGGCTGTGGCTCTGGGGCTGTGGCTCTGGGGCTGTGGCTCTGAGGCTGTGGCTCTGAGGCTGTGGCTCTGAGGCTGTGGCTCTGAGGCTGTGGCTCTGGGGCTGTGGCTCTGAGGCTGTGGCTCTGGGGCTGTGGCTCTGGCTCTGGGGCTGTAGACGTGCTGTTAACAGGGTAGTAGCAGGGGCAGGGTGAGAGCAGAGTAGGGACTACTCCAGTGGACTGAAGGCTGAGGAGCAGAGGGGAGAACACACAGCTGAGTGTCAGAGAACAGAGTAAAGGACAGGCTGAGAGCTTTCAGGGGTATGGGCTGTCCCTCTTAAGGAAGAAGGAGAGGAATGTTCGCGAGGGAGCTAAGCTGAAAGGGGTGAGGGTGAGGAGGAGGGATGTAAGCTCAATTCCCAAACCACAACCCCCCCTCTCACTCCCTCACTGTGGAGAAGGTCACAGTATCTGTGGGGAGGAATGTTTGAAACAAGAGCTGCCAAGGAAACGGATCACCTTAAAACGATTACAGGAGTATGGATAATATACTGTAGGTGGACGTGCATATGCATGAGTGCGTGTGCACTCAGTTTTTGGGACGCTTCACTTAGAATGCATGAGTGTGCATGCATTTACATGTGTTTTTCATTCTGTATTCGTGTGTGTATGCATTAATGTATGTGCATTTGAGAGCTCTAGAGGGACTGTGTGTAATGTGTTGTTATTATAAGCTCAGTTGGCTGTTAAAAGAAGAGGAGTCTAGATGATAAACACTGGTGTGTGTCTTTATTGTGACTGAATACAGATTACACACAGAAAGGATGGGCGAATCAAACCATACTTATCTATACATTATTTTAAAAGGAAACTTTATAAAAGAGGGGTTCCCGTTTTTATAACAGATCCTCAATGTGAAGACCACATTTCCCACTATCCTTTAGTTAACAAGGAACCACACAATCTCCCCAAACATGTGAAACTGGTGGCATCGGAAGAGACTTCTGTATGGCAGATCTAACTATATAACCCAGGGAGGGCTTTATGCTTTATAGAACAGGCATTTTGATATCAGTCCACATAGAAGATCAAATGGCACTCGAGCAAGACAAAAAACTGACCACCTATAATATCAACCAAATAATGAGAGGACAGAGTGGTGTTTCTCCTGGTCAAAGTCCCAAGTAGAAAAGGCTTGAACAATGTTCTCTTGGTCCCTGTATCCACGGTCAGGGTCCACCTTCAGTCTGAGTGTGTGGAAGTGAGCTGCCCAGTCCAGCAGCAACAGGAAGTGGAAATGCCAGCCAGCCATACTCCAAGAGAAACACAGGAAGTACTGTAGCTGCTGAGAGGAGGGGTGGAGTGAGACAGAGAACTGACTAAAAACCCAACTTCTGTCTGTTCAATATATAAAAGTGCTGATATGTCTCAGTCCTGCTCTCCTCCTACACGGCTGACCCAGGAGGGTCACACACTGTCACTGAAGAAGATGAGGAAATGAAGGATTGTATGACTACAGTCTGTTCTGGTCCAAATGCCTACATTACCCATAACACCATAACACCTGAGGAAAGGCGAGGCCATTTTGAAACCAAAGGAAAAAGTGAGGCCGATTCGATAAGAGTCCAAACACACATTTTCCGGTCCGCTGAAAAAGGTGTCATCCACATCATCGTATAATTCCCATGGATTAATAATCCAAGACACAAATTAGTGAAAGTGTCACCATGTTGCAGTAGCGTAGTCTGCCACTGGCTAGTTCACATTCTTCATCATGAAATACACCAATAGATCATCTTTAGTCCATAGCACTGATCTGTGCCTCCACTAGTATCACCAGTTTGTTTAGGATCACAGATAAACATTCAAGCAGTGAAGCAGTGGCGGTATAGTGAGGGTGAACTGGCCAGAGAGGCAGTCAGAGAGGCTCCAGCAGCCCATCAAAAGGGGACGATCACGCTCTCCCAGAAGTTTGGTTGGTGCGTAAAACCCAGAACTTCAGATAAGCAAAAAAGTGTGTTAAAGATGTCGCATAAAGCTTACTTCAGTTTTCAAATTTTCTATTATTTTCACTGCATCAAGGATAGCGTACAGCAGCCTCCTACCAGTCCTCAGCCTGACTGATCACTTGACTGGTCAGTAAGGACAGGTTGGTCAGGTTGTAGGGAAGGTCATCTATAATTAGTTCATTTTGAGGCGCTGTCACTACGCCCAGTCACTGATGGACTTCCTGTCTAAGAAGGGGCCGGCTGGTGCCAGGGTCAGGGACTGTGTGGTTGTAGCAGGGTGCTGCCTGGATCCATGGGTGTGCGATGTACTGTGTGCGTGCTGGTGTCTGTGTTGGGTGATGGTCAGAGGTCAGGGGTCAAGATAAGTTGTGCCGGGGTTAGAAGCGTACGGTTCCAGGGCTCTTGGTCATGGTCAGAGTTTGGATGCTGGACAGGATCTTCCTCTGGTGTCCAGCCAGGGTCACTCCCAGACGCAGCAGGTCCCTGAGGAGAAGGACATACTGTTAGATAAACAGACAGACAGAAAGACTGACAGACAGACAGACCGACAGACAGTCTGAGTGACTGACAGATAGGCAGACAGAGACATAGAGCTATAGTCGTAGAGTGTGACTCAACTTTAAGAGGTTTGAAAGTCAGAGAGACACACAGAGACAGCCAGCCACATTGTTGTAGGTGTGAAATGTGAACTCACTCAGCAGTGATCTGGGCCAGTAGGTCAACAGAGGTGAATCCAGCCTGGAGGAAGCTGTCCTCATAGCGCTCCATCTTGATGGCCTTCAGCCACTCCCCTACGGAGCCGCACGCTGAGGGGGCCGGGGGGGCCCGCTGGTCCAGTAGGGGGTGGGACGGCCTGGGGACAGGGGACACACACAGGGACACGTCACACATACACACTCTCTGTCACCAGCACACCAGTGGCCTCACAGGCATGTACCCTTGAGGGACAGGCATGGCCACAGAATGGGGATGGGATCTAAGGCTGCATGAGTGACAGGAAACAACAATGGCTGTTGGCGGGGAGGGGGTGTGGCCCAAGCTGTGAGTGACAGGTTAGTATTTGGGGTGGGATAGGGGGAGAGGATGGGCACAGTTAGAGTGTGACAGGTCACAGCAGGACAGAGGAGGGACAGTAGGAGATTAATGTAGGCTGACTCTCTGACAGACAGGAAGCAATGGAATAAAGACTGGGTTCTATTAGGGGACACTATATACTCTCCAGCTGGTTAGACAGTCATTTCCTTGTCTTTACCTCATGCTGTGTTTAAACCCACACTGGCCTTCTCTGACTCTCCACACACCCTCCCAACCCAACCCCTTGCCTAGAGATCTGTGCCCACTCACCCTGCACCCTCCTGGGCCACGATCTTCAGCGAGGCGGGGTTGCGGATCAGCTTGTCCAGGGCGCTGACGATGGCGGCGAAGCGAGGGCGGGCCGAGCGCTCCTTCTGCCAGCAGTCCAGCATCAGCTGGTGGAGGTGGGTGGGGCAATCAGGGGGCGGGGGTAGGCGGTAGTCCTGCTCTATGGCGTTGATCACATCCTGGTTGCTCATGTCCCAGTAGGGCCTCTCTCCGAAGGACATGACCTCCCACATGACGATGCCGTAGCTCCAGGCGTCGGAGGCTGAGGTGAACTTCCTGAAGGCGATGGCCTCTGGGGCGGTCCAGCGGATGGGGATCTTACCACCCTGATAGAAAAAAGGAGGAGAGTCAACAACCAGACACCATAACCATATGCACTATGGGATTGGTGTTGAGGAAGAACGAGGTGCAGTAGTCTCACCAGAGAGCTGGTGTAGGTGGGGTCTGAGGAGTTCTCCTGGAGGAAGCGGGACAGGCCAAAGTCAGACACCTTACACACCAGGTTGCTGTTGACCAGGATGTTGCGCGCGGCTAGGTCTCTGTGGACATAGCTCATCTCAGACAGATACTTCATGCCTGACGCGATGCCACGCAGCATGCCCACCAGCTGGATGGGAGTGAACTGACCATCGTTCAACTACAGAGGAGAGATGGAAAAGTTAGAATTGAGAACAAGTGGAGTGTGTGTGAGTTTGCGTTTGTGTGTAATAATAATAATAATTTGGTAGGTGCTTATATTTGTCCTGTGTGTATTTTACCAAAAAAAAAAAATTGTGAACTAATACTCCCACTTGAGTTTTCCACCTTTACTAGCTCTGACTTTTCTGATATCTACTTTATTGAGGAAAAATGAAATGACTATGACTGTGATATGTGGTTGTCTCACCTAGCTATCTTAAGATGAATGCAGTAACTGTAAGTAGCTCTGGATAAGAGTGTCTGCTAAATGACTCAAATGTAAATGTAAAATGTAAATGTGTTTTTTTGCATATCCCAACTCCCCCTGAGACACCCCCGGAGAGTGGGGTCACAGCCAGGGTGTGTGTGTGTGTGTGTGTGTGTGTGTGTGTGTGTGTGTGTGTGTATGTGTGTGTGTGTGTGTGTGTGTGTGTGTGTGTGTGTGTGTGTGTGTGTGTGTGTGTGTGTGTAGGACTCTCTGAGAGACAAAATAACAGAACAATAGATAGACTGACCCTAAGGAAGGAGTCAAGTGCTCCGTTCTCCATGAACTCAGTGAGGATCATGACGGGACAGGAAGCAGTGATGATGCCCTCCAGGTGGATGATGTTGGGGTGCTGGAACTGGCCCATGATGCTAGCCTCCGACAGGAAGTCCCGCCTCTGCTTGTCTGTGTAGCCACCCTTTAGGGTCTTGATGGCTACGTAGTTCTCCTTCTTCCCTGGAACCTTCAGCCTCCCCCGACACACCTCCCCAAACTCCCCTAGAGACAAGCCAGGGAAATACCCATTAATACAAACATGATACTACATCACCATACCAACCGATTTGTTAACAGGCAGCAATAAATAACATGACATAGAGAAAGAGATGGAGAGAGACCCACCGGCACCAATGACCTCCTCGATTTTGACAAAGGAAACATCGATCTCCTTGGCAAACTCCCGTACGGCCTCGTTAGGGTCCTCGTAGGTGAAGGGGTCAATATAGACCTTGACTCCTGAGGAGAGGAGGGAGATAGAGGGAGGGTAGGGGGAATTAAACGACGAACCAGCAAATGTAACAGACAGACTAAAATATGAAAAACTGCATATTGTATGTATGTGTGTGTGTGTGTGTGTGTGTGTGTGTGTGTGTGTGTGTGTACTCACCTTGGCCCAGGAGGTACTGGCCATTTTTGTCACTCAGCTCTGGGTCCTTCATTCTGCTGTGTCTGCTACAGAGAAGAACAGCGTGTGGGAGAGAAAGGAGGGACGAGAGAAAGGGTCGAGAGAGAGAAAGAGCGATAGAGGGAGAGAGGGGAAGAAAGAGGTTGTTAGTCCAGTGACATAACACCTTCTCTAGTCTCTCTCTGAGTGTTTTTTAGTGTCACAAACAAGCTCATTGAGTCTCTCCCTGTCTCAGAAACAATACATGACTGGTAGATGAAGTAATGCTTTGACCCTGGGCCCTCTACTGTTCTGCTCATTTAGGAGCCAATCTGCTCTGTGTCTGGGTCTGCTGTGCTGGAGGGCTCCATTAGTGAGACTTCCTTTGGCCCAGGCCCATCCCAGTAGGACTGTACAAGCCCTGTAGCTACTGGACAAACCCTCTCTCTCTCTCTCGACCTCCTCTCCTCCCATCTCTCTCCTCCAATCTCTTCTACGCTCTCTCTCCCTCCTCTCTCTTCTCTCCTAACCATTCTCCCCTTCTCTCCTCTCTCCTACATGCTCTCCTCTCTACCTACCTCTCCGCTCTACTACCCTATCGGCCCCCTCTCTTCATCCCTCTCTCCTCCTCCTCACCCCCCGCTCTCCTCTCCCCCCTCCCTCTCTCATCTCAGTTCCTCTCTCATCTCTCTCCCTCCCTCCCCCCCTCTCTCCTCTTCTCTCTCATCTAAGTCTCTACCTCTCCCCCCCCCTATCTCTCTCCCAGGCCCAAATAGCAATACTGTTTCCACCCTCATCTGGCGGTAGAACCAGGCCTCTACTGTGAGTGTGAGCGTGTGTGCGCGCGTTTAAAACGGGATTGCACACATCTGTGTATTTCTTAGTGTATGTGCAAATACACAACGTGTGTGTATGTGTGTGTGCACAACTCTGTATGTGTGTGTAGTGGTGTAGTGTATAGTGTATAGTGTGTGCCCCAAGGTCAGGACTATTGTTCTCCTGTCCTGTGGAGACCAGGGTTGGGACTGCTGCATCCTGTCTACCCCCCCCCCCCCCCCCCCCTCTCTCTCTCTCTCCTCTCACTACCATCTCTCTACCCCTCCCTCTCTCTACCTACTCTCTACCCCTCTCCTCTCTCTACCTCTCCCCTCTCTGCCCTCCCTCTCTCTCTCCCTCTCTACCCATCTCTCTCTCTCTACCTCTCTCTCTCCCTTTCTCTCCCTCTCTCTCCCTCTCTCTACCTCTCCCCTCTCTCTCTCCCTCTCTCTCCCCCTCTCTCTCCCTCTCTCTACCTCTCTCCACCCCTCTCTCTCTCTACCTCTCCCTCTCTCTCGCTTCCTCACTCTCTAGTTCCCTATGTTCCCAGAACCTTTTTCAGAGGGCATGTGGAGCTATTTGCTGAAACAATGAAGCCAAGGGAAAGTGTTATAATGAGCGGAATAACTTCTAGCCCTGTAAGCACAAAGTCACAAAGAAAAAGTATTTGGCTCTTTGAAAGTTTTGCTCAAATATGACATACTGTATGAAGGTAGCAGTCATAATCTAAGCTTGATAAGATTGGTAGCGGTTACAAAAAGACAAAGCATGTCAAATGTTAAGATAAGACCCATTTGTCTATTTTAGCTTTTCCCTTGTTGTAAAATTCACATTACAGAATTTCTGTCCCCATCTTGCCCTCTCTCTCTCCCCCTCCCCCAATCCTCCCTCTTTCCCTGGTTCTCACCGTATGCAGAAGACAGCCACAGTGATGACAGTGATGAGCAGCAGCATCCCCATGGCGATAAGGATACCGGTCACCAGAAGCTGGGAAGGAGAGTCATGTCCTGAGTAAAGGATCAAAAGGAGGAGAGAAGAAGGGAGGGAGGCGCAAATAAAATTATAACTCATGTTGTAACTAATGAACTAATGTGTTCTGGCAAATAAACTAGAACAAGAAGGCGGAAACAATACACAAAAAAGGTGAAAAACCTGAGAATACTTTGTGGGCCTAGATATAGCCAGGCCTCCCTGAAAGAGTGAAGCCTGGGCCTTTCCTTACCGTCAGGCATGGTGCGGAAGGAGGCCGCTGGGCTGAAGCTGCCGTAGCCGGCCATGGTGCGAGCCCGGACCTGCACCTCATACTGAGTGGCCCTGCGGAGATCACTCAGCACCACCTGGTTACTGTCACTCTCCATGTAGCGACACAACCGCTCCTGCTCCTCACCTCGACGCTCCTGTAGGACGGAGAAAGGAGAAAGAGAGGGACCGAGAGAGAGAGGGATGGAGGAAGAGAGGGATAGAGGAAGAGAGGGATGGAGGAAGAGCGGGATGGAGGGACGGTGGGAAAACAAAAGCAGATAAGAAACCAGGTTTAGTCAGTGGGAGGGAGGTCAGAGTGATGTACACAGATGTAACAGTCAACTCCCTAAGACCTGAGGTGAGTCAGCGCTAGAGTATTTAACAGTGGGAGGACAGTGTGTCTTGCCATCCTCACCGTCTCACAGTAACGTAGCTGGTACTGAAGGATGGTGTAGTGCGGCTGGGCTGGAACTGACCAGTGGAGAGTCAGACTGCTCTCTGTAGAGATACTCTTCCTGATCACAGACACCAGAACTGGAACTGCACACACACCAACACAAAGAAACGACATTAAAAGATTGAATGTTGTTCTATATTCCTCTTCTAACCATATGACCCCCAACCCCAAACCCTTCTCTCTTCCTCTCTGTGTCCCTCTCTCACCGTCGTGACTGGTTGTGATGTTGACAGTGTCGCTGGGTGCCCCCTTGCCGTTGGGCGGGGAGACCCCGTTGAGGGCCTGGATGGAGAAGGTGTATGTAGTGTGAGGCATGAGGCCCCAGACCACCACCCTGCGGCCCAGCAGGCCACGCTGAGAGGGCCGGTAGCTGACACTGTCCCCGCAGGGAGAGCAGGGGCCCCAGGGGGCCCCACACAGAGAACACTCCACAGAGTAACTCAGGTCAGTCCGGCCACCACTGTCCTGGGGCTCGCTCCACTCTAGGGTCACCGTGGTGTCGTTGATCTGGGTGACGATGCTACGCGGGGCAGAGGGGGGTCCTGGAGGACAGAGGAGGAAAGGAGAGGGTCACACACCACCTCATCAGGCAATCAGCAATCACAAATATTTAATCAGACAAAAGTACCAAGACATTTTCCATTTGAAGGCACTTTACTGTCCCGATGTGCCATATTACTGTTCCTCTGTTTCAGATTTGCATTGTCAATTAAATCACTTGCATGCTATTTGTCATGTTCCAGATACATTTCCAGCTAGCGTTTGGAGGAGCCACCAGGGAAGAGAGGCTGAGGGGCACAGCAGGAAACAACATTGTGATGCAGAATTGAATTGGTGCTCCAATTACACACGTCTACATTTCAATGATAATGATCAGCAGTTGAAGATTGTAGTAGGGGGATTGTGATTGCTGCCAGCCAAGTGGAACACAATTGCAATGCCACTCAGCCAGTGTGAATTAGTTCCTGCTCCTGCTAAGGAAACTGTGCCTTGTCATTGAGCCTGTGGCTAGGCCATTTACTGCTTCTCTGAGAGTAGTGCTTAGTAATATCAGCCACAATGCTCTCTGAGAGGTTGGGGTGGCCACAAATAGGAGGCAGTTGTGTACCATCACAAAGGCCTACTGTTATTTAGCTTTCATTTACATCAACATCTAGGGATGAGGAGAGAAAGGGGCCTGTGATTAGTCAAAACATCTGGAGTGATAAAATAAATCAACTGTCTGACTTAATTAGGGACAACTGTAATTAAACCTGTGATTTAATAGGCTAGCAGAGTCTACAGGGAATTCTGTTTGTCCTCTACTGGTTTCAGTCTTCAGACGAGTTTCAGACTGCTGTTCGTTGCGAACTCTTTTCATGGCCATTCTGAGTGAGTTTGCCCAATTCATCTCCCGAGTGGCGAAGTGGTCTAAGGCACTGCATCGCAGTGCTCGCTGTGCCACTAGAGATCCTGGTTCGAATCCAGGCTCCGTCGTAGCCGGCCGCAACCGGGAGACCCATGGGGCGGCGCACAATTGGCCCAGCGTCGTCCAGGGTAGGGGAGGGAATGGCTGGCAGGGATGTAGCTCAGTTGGTAGAGCATGGCGTTTGCAACGCCAGGGTTGTGGGTTCGATTCCCACGGGGGGCCAGTATGAAAAATAAAAATGTATGCACTCACTAACTGTAAGTCGCTCTGGATAAGAGCGTCTGCTAAATGACGTAAATGTAAATGTAAATTCAAAATGCCTCCAATTCACATGTGGCTGAATTGAAATTCCTGAATCCACACAGAGGTGTCACTCACGACCATCAATGCTTCCCTTCCTGGGAGTGACATCCAGGCTCCGCCCCGGCCCGCTCTACACCCGCTACAAAGGAGCTGCATCTCAATACGCTCAGCCCTGGGACAAAGGCCACAGAGCAGGTGAGAGGGGCTGAGCACAACAAGACCAGAAAAGAGAAGTAGAAGAGGAGCGAGCGACAACAAAGGAGGGAGGGCAACAAGAGAAACACAAGTTGAAAGTGAAAGAAAAGAACACAGAGTATCAGGGGAGAGTAAATAGAGGGTAGAGTATGTATGTAATGCACAGGAGGTTGGTGGCACCTCAGTTGGGGAGGACAGGCTCACGGTAACGGCTGGAGCGGCATGAATGGAATGGTATCAAATACATCAAACACATAGTTTCCATGTGGCTGATGCCATTCCATTTGCTCCGTTCCAGCCATTATTATGAGCCGTCCTCCCCTCAGCAGCCACCACTGATGTAATAATGTGTGTACTTACTGGTGCAGGGCGTGTCTGGGGTGTCAGAGTCAGCGCGGAGGTATCCTGGACGACACTGACACACAGGTGAGCCCGTCACCACAGCATGGCTAAACCCTGGACAGGCCTGGCACTGCCCCCCCGAGCCGGACCTAAACTGACCCACAGGACAGGCTGAGAGGAAGAGGGAGAGCGAGAGGCGAGAAGGAAAGTTAGCATGGCCCTGAACATCGCCACCAACCGCAGCATCAGAAACCATCACCGCAGGCAGCATAGCGTCCTATCATAGCGTGTCGGTTGGGAGCCAAAAAGCATATTCAAAAAAGACAAACAGTACCGGAACACTCATTAATCACTGCCAAGATACATAAACGCAATAAAATGGATGTGAATGCGCTCTCCTCTCCTTTGATCCCTCATTCACACGGACACCCGGCTTCAGTGTAAACAGCCCATAAATCAAACTTGCTCCCTGACACACCGGGCTCATTCAGCGAGGGGGATCCGGCACAGCAAGTGTGTGCGTGTGTGTGTTATTGCAATATCTGCTCTGTTCACTTTCTGTTTAAATAAACGTCTACAGAAATTAATCAAATACATAACTGGGCATCATATGTATTCATTTGTGGATTTTGAAAGTGAAATTTTAGCTACGTGAGCCCCTGTAAAGTACTGGGTAATAATAACAGACTCCTAAAGCATTAGTAATAACACCCACTCAGTATGAACACTAACCAAATGTTGAACCACATCACATCACATACAGTTGATGTCGGAAGTTTACATACACTTAGGTAAAAAAAAAACTCGTTTTTCAACCACTCCACAAATGTCTTGTTAACGAACTATAGTTTTGGCAAGTCGGTTAGCGCATCTACTTTGTGCATGACACAAGTCATTTTTCCAACAATTGTTTACAGACAGATTATTTCACTTATAATTCACTGTATCACAATTCCAGTGGGTCAGAAGTTTACATACACTAAGTTGACTGTGCCTTTAAACAGCTTGGAAAATTCCAGAAAATGATGTCATGGCTTTAGAAGCTTCTGATAGGCTAATTGACATCATTTGAGTCAATTGGAGGTGTACCTGTGGATGTATTTCAAGGCCTACCTTCAAACTCAGTGCCTCTTTGCTTGACATCATGGGAAAATCTAAAGAAATCAGCCAAGACCTCCTTGGGAGCAATTTCCAAACGCCTGAAGGTACCACATTCATTTGTACAAACAATAGTACGCAAGTATAAACACCATGGGACCACGCAGCCGTCATACCGCTCAGGAAGGAGACGCGTTCTGTCTCCTAGAGATTAACGTACTTTGATGCGAAAACAGCAAAGGACCTTGTGAAGATGCTGGAGGAAACAGGTACAAAAGTATCTATATCCACAGTAAAATGAGTCCTATATCGACATAACCTGAAAGGCCGCTCAGCAAGGAAGAAGCCACTGCTCCAAAACCGCCATAAAAAAAGCCAGACTACGGTTTGCAACTGCACATGGGGACAAAGATCTTACTTTTTGGAGAAATGTCCTCTGGTCTGATGAAACAAAAATAGAACTGTTTGGCCATAATGACCATCGTTATGTTTGGAGGAAAAAGGGGGTTGCTTGCAAGCCGAAGAACACCATCCCAACCATGAAGCACAGGGGTGGCAGCATCATGCTGTGGGGGTGCTTTGCTGCAGGAGGGACTGGTGCACTTCACAAAATAGATGGCATCATGAGGAAGGAAAATTATGTGGATATATTGAAGCAACATCTCAAGACATCAGTCAGGAAGTTAAAGCTTGGTCGCAAATGGGTCTTCCAAATGGACAATGACCCCAAGCATACTTCCAAAGTTGTGGCAAAATGGCTTATGGACAACAAAGTCAAGGTATTGGAGTGGCCATCACAAAGCCCTGACCTCAATCCTATAGAAAATTTGTGGGCAGAACTGAAAAAGCGTGTGTGAGCAAGGAGGCCTACAAACCTGACTCAGTTACTCTAGCTCTGTCAGGAGGACTGTGCCAAAATTCACCCAACTTATTGTGGGAAGCTCGTGGAAGGCTACCCAAAATGTTTGACCCAAGTTAAACAATTTAAAGGCAATGCTACCAAATACTAATTGAGTGCATGTAAACTTCTGACCCACTGGGAATGTGATGAAAGAAATAAAAGCTGAAATAAATAATTCTCTCTACTATTATTCTGACATTTCACATCCTTAACATAAAGTGGTGATCCTAACTGACCTAAGACAGGAAATGTTTACTAGGATTAAATGTCAGGAATTGTGAAAAACTAATTTTAAATGTATTTGGCTAAGGTGAATGTAAACTTCCGACTTCAACTGTACATACACCATCCATGGATAAAGACTTCTAACAAACTGCTGTTGCTCTACTTAGGAAAATTACTGCAGTTTTAGTTGTTATCTACTAATTGTATTTCTTCATGAGGGACAATAAAGTTGGGTTATATTGTACTGTATTTTATTGTATCGAATAACATGGTTATGCAAATCATCAGCAGTTAGTTAGAGCTACAGTTTTGGTTGTTATTTCTCTTGTACAGTGTCTATGTTTAATGGGTAGTTCAGTGTTTCTGAGAGAAAATCTGCAATTTTAAAGCTCATTTCCTGCATTTCTACACATTTTGCCATGGCTTATGCCGTGTTCTTATGCTATCTGAGTGACTCAAACAAACGTTATTGTCACGCCCTGGCTCTGGGGACTCTAGTATGTTGAGCCAGGGTGTGAGTTTTCATTTGTTTTTCGTTCTAGTTTTGTAGTTCTATGTTGGCCAGTGTGGTTCTCAATCAGAGGCAACGTGTATCAGCTGTTGCTTGTTGTCTCTGATTGGGATCCATACTTAAGCAGCCAGTTTTCCCACAGTGTTTGTGGGATCTTGTTCCTGTGTAGGTTTGTGTTTTGCACCTTTGGACGTCACGTATCGATTTGTTGTTTTTGTTCGTGTAATCATTATTTAATAAAAATGTTCACCTTCCACGCTGCGCCTTGGTCCTCTATATCCGACGATCGTGACAGTTATAACAAAATCAATTGGGCCCCATGCCATGACATTTAAAAAATGTTAGATTCTCTCTGACTGTCTAGTTTTTATAGATGATTATTCGTTTTCAAAGATGATCTTATAAAAAAATATATAGCTATTTTCTACATACTTATATCTGTTTTTAGTCATTTCAGATTACACTGACAATGTTTTACCATCCCGAAAATATATATATATTTTTAAAACAACCATATACATTATATTTCTTGGAGTGGCGGCAAAGTTTTAGCAGCGGCGGCCCGCCACTGCCAAATTAATATAGGGGAAACACTGTTTACAGGATTAATACAAAGCCAGGTTGTCTAACAGTGGAGGATTTTCCGACTCCCTGGAGCCGAGTTATCATTAACCAAATAGAGAGGCTAAACAGTTAAGGTGTTAACTCTGCCAGGCAGGAAGCTACATAAAAGCCCCGCGTCAACCTAATCGCTGAATAAGATGACATCATTACAATTCAAGTGGCCCTGGCTTTCTTTCCCAGACAGTATAAATAGGCTTTCTCTTTGTTATCCGTGTACACGATATAACTTTCACCCTGTCTCTCTCTCTCTTTCTCTCTACCTCTTTCTCTATTGTGTGTGAAGTGGGCCTTTGTATAGTAACACATGTATCAGAGAAGTACATGCGTTAAAAACAGGTGCAAACAGGTACCGAACACAACACAAAAGTATCTCCAAAGAATCACAAATGAATCCTTACAGCGATACTGCATAGTCTCTACAATACATCTTAAGAAAAGGCTTTGACAGAAGGTGGAGCTGCTCTGAGGGTCATAGATTCCCCTAACAGACACAACCTCAGTGACCAGAGGCCAGGGAGCATCGAAGCCACCCAGAGACAGAAACAGAGGCAGAGAGAGACAGAGACAGAAACAGAAAAAAGAGGGAGAGAGAGACAGAGACAGAGAGAGACAGAGAAAGAGGGAGAGAGAGACAGAGAGAGAGAAAGAGGGAGAGAGAGACAGAAACAGAAAAAAGAGGGAGAGAGAGAAAGAGGGAGAGAGAGACAGAGACAGAGAAAGAGGGAGAGAGAGACAGAGACAGAGAAAGAGGGAGAGAGAGAAAGAGACAGAGAGAGACAGAGAAAGAGGGAGAGAGAGACAGAGACAGAGAAAGAGGGAGAGAGAGACAGAGAGAGACAGAGAAAGAGGGAGAGAGAGACAGAGACAGAGACAGAGAAAGAGGGAGAGAGAGACAGAGACAGAGAAAGAGGGAGAGAGAGACAGAGACAGAGAAAGAGAGAGACAGAGACAGACAGAGAAAGAGGGAGAGAGAGACAGAGACAGAGACAGAGAGAGACAGAGAGAGAGGGAGAGAGAGACAGAGACAGAGAAAGAGGGAGAGAGAGACAGAGATAAGGCATCAGAGTGCTGTTCATAAATACCCTCTAACTGGCTGGCTGCTGGTGGGATGAGAAAGCGGTTTATAGCTAACAGATAGGCTCCAACCGGGCCACTTAAAGAGCTTTATGGCCTATCCCCCCCCTGACGGCACACTCTCCATACATCAACCCACACACATTGCCTTTAACGACACGCTTTCCTCTTTGGTGGAGAGGGATGCAAAATAAGAGTACAACCTCGTACATTAAAACGAGAAGACAGCAACAAAAGTTAGTTAAACACTGTCTGCTAAATGATATACTTGGCTGTGTGGTTATGCTAATGTTAATGTTAATGTGCTACTGAGGCAGTAGCATGTGGGAGAGACAAAGTGAGAGAGAGAAGAAGAGAGAGTGTGTTCCCTTTCTCCTTAAAGCACAGTGTGGAATGTGACCCTATTGTGACCTTCCTTTTACATTTCTCCAGGGGGGAGTGGGAGACAGGGGTGGAGGCCTGTTTCACACACACTCACACACACATACACAGACACTCTCACACACACACACACACACTGAAAGAATGAAATAAGAGCACAGCAATTAGCTAGACAGAGGCAACCCACCGCCTGTGGCATTGTGTCTGTGTGATGGTGTGTACATGAGGAAGAGAAGTGTCCTGCGCTGTGTGTTAACTTGTGTTAGCTTGGCAGAGATGTATTATTGCTTTTACGTGCTATTGTCCAACATTTTAAGTCATCTGCAATGCTGTGGTGTGCCTGTAATGACCTGCTGAGTGAGGCTGTTTTGGCTCAAGAGCAACTCCCTGTCAGAGCAGCAAAATACTGTATCTAACCACTGAAATGGAGGAGGAAAGAACCTTTACATGACATTTTAGCCATATAGCGGACACTCTTATCCAGAGTGACTTACAGTAGTGAGTCACACATTTTCATACTTTTTTTTCTTCTAACAAGAGGAATGAGTAAATCATTTGGCTTTTCGTTACACAGTATCAGCATTTCTGTCCATCTGTCTCTCTCCACCTGTGTGTGTGTACATGGATAATTTGACTCATTAGGAGAGTTGTACATCCGCAGAGAGAATACTCCCTGCTTCTCTCTCTGTTGTCAGGTTGGCTTTGATGTACCGGAAGATTCTTTACCTTTCTTTAATCTCCCCCCTCTTTTTCCCTCCTTTCTCTCTTTCCCTTCCTCCTCTCTTCTCCTCTCTTCCCCTCCCTCCATTCTTGGCTGATTCACTGGGTCTGTCTGACAGCCAGTCCTGACATGTCCTAAGCGCCACCCTCAGCCGCCCAGCCCTGTGACACCACCCTCACCTCTCACCTCTGACCTCTGCACCTCCCTCAGTCCCCCAGGCTTTAACCTGCCCCACCACAACACTCCCTGTTAATACTGCTTCTGTAAGCCTCTTCTCTTTTGTTCCCCGCTCTCCAACCCCCACCCGGCCACTTCTCCATTCTTTCATTGTTAAGGCCTCAACTCTGTGTATGTGTGAGAGACTGCGTGTGTGAAAGGACAGACAGAATAGATTCCCACCTAAACTGATGAGACGGCATACTCCCCTTGTCTTTCACCCCCCCCCCCCCCCCCCCCCCCCTCCACTCCTCACCTCTCCCCTTCCTCTCACCTGAGCAGTGGGTGTGTCCATCAGCAGGCTCGTATCCGGGCAGACAGCCACAGGAGGTAGTGGGCTGGCCCACCCATTGGCCATCCTCGCCGCAGAAGAGTTTGGGTGGGCGTGGCCGGGGCCCCTGCTGGGCAGCGTTGTCCACACACACCCCCTGGGCCTCCTGTACCAGGGTGCGGGGCACGGTCTCAGGGAAGGAGGACAGGGAGCTGGCAAGGGCAGGACACTTCTTAAAGAACACCCTGACAGACAGCAGGGCCATGCAGGCTCCCTGGGCCTGGAAGGCCAGGTAGAAGCCCCTCTTAGACAGAGGCCCCAGCCGCAGGGTCTTCACATTGAACTTACGCTCCCCACCCTTCCTCAGTAGGAAGTCTGCTGCCACTGTGTCCACCTACAGGATGACAGGAGGGAGAGGCAGACGGTCAACACAAACACAGGAAGTAATGTCTCTACATGGTATCCAACATCCCAACAGCCTACTTGAAGAGCTCACATTCCAGTGGGTTCCATCCATAATGGGTGTACATGTATATCTGTATATGTCAGTGTGTGTACAGCAGCTGGAACCGAAATTGAACAGAACCATAATTTGTTTTCGTTCCGTTCCACTTTACCAACCAGCAAAATAAAGTTCTGAACCGGTTCGAGACCCAAAAAAGTAGTTTTATATTCCGTTCTGTTCCGTTTTATTTAGCTCGACATCAAATTACTTCACCAATAAGTGCGGATAGAGCAGCTTGGTATGGAGTGGGTAAGCAATTTAATCTGTATAGGAAAGCCGTTAAGAGCAAATTGTATTTTGCCGTACCAGATTGGTTTAATCATAATGAAAGACACACACACTGTGCTGCCAGTCACAATGTAGGGCGTGAGAATCAACTGACATGTTGCGGGTGAGGAGAGAGCGAGAGAGGATGGGGGAAGCTTGCCTTGAAGCGCTGGGCATCTTGTTATGACATGCCTGATCTGAATTAGGCCCACATAATTACATCTACGGAGGAGCGGCTTCTATGGAGTAACATTGAATGTCTTTGAACTTCCAAGTTTGTTTAACGTTGGACCAGAGCTAACAAGCTTGTGTTTGCAGAGCAGCACTAGAATTAAAAACAGTTAATAAATCCAATGTGAAACGTGATAACTATAGTATCCTTAACTAGCATTGAACAAGTTAATCCATTCTTTTAAACATCTCTCCCTAATTTCTGAATCATGCTTGTAACATTGTCAGTAGGCTACAGTAACCTATGCTTTAGAGGGGAGGGGCAGGTATCCTACACACACAAACCCACCGGCAAAGATTTCCAGCTGGCAGGCAGGCAGACGCTGGAATACGTTTCTGAATGACAGAGTGAGGGCTTTGCATAGGCGCTTTGTTTTGCGATTTTTGTGGGACTGGAAAAAAATAACGTTATTAACCGGTTCCCATGCTTTTAAAAACAGTATTTCTGTTCCGGAACAGTATAGATCACTTTCGTTTCTGGTTCGGGTTCTGTTCCTCAAATAATGTAGTTATTTTCCGGTTTTCGGTTCTGTTCCCTTAACCGGTTCCAACCCTTGGTGTGTATACCTTGGTGTAGGAGTTCTTAATCCAGAAGGGATGTGCTGCTGAGTGTTGATGTGTGTGTGTATACAATAGCTGTGTACCTTAGTATAGGGGTTCTCCATCCATGATGGGTGTGTAGGTGTAGCCTCGTCAGAGTCGGCCTGGTAGTAGTAGAGGTTGAAGGTCTCCTTGCAGCTGCGGTGGTGTGTGACCCTGGACGAACACTCGATCATGGTGAAGCGCAGCTCCACGTACACCTGGGACGCTCCCCGCCGTTGAATCAGCCCGCTGCGCAGCCAATGACTGGACGAGCCGTCCGTCTGGCAGATCTGATAGGTCCTCACACTGTTGTTCTCCTCGTCCAGACCACTCACCTCCTCCCACTGAGACAGGGGGCGGGAGTAGAGGAGGAAATATGTTTAGATAGCAAGCCCATCAATGAAACATTGTTATACAGTGGGTATACAGGGTGTAAACTTATGAGGAATAAAGTGAGTTCAAAAGTAGGAGGATGGACCTATTTCTACAGAGAGAGAGAGAGAGATATAAAGAGAGAGCGAGAGAGAGAGAGAGAGAGAGAGAGAGAGAGAGAGAGAGAGAAAGAGAGAGAGAGAGAGAGAGAGAGATGAGAGAGAGCGAGAGAGAAGATAGAGAGAGGAGAGATGAGAGAGAGAAGAGAGAGAGAGAAAGACGAGAGTCAAGATAGAGAGAGAAGAGATCGTAGAGAGAGAGAGGAGAGAAAGAGTACGAGAGATATATAGCGATAGACCCGACGAAGACGATTAGTAGAGTCATTCGAATAGCTCTCTGCTTCTTGTCGTTTACTCCCAGGGTTTCCGGGAGTAGATGTCTCCATCTGAGACTGACTCTCGGTCTTAGTGTTCACAAACCCTGTGAAGCAGACATGAGAATGTTAGGCACACGAGTCCTGCAGGGGAGGAACTTACATTCACAGCCGTCCAGAGATATGACAGATTAACACGGTTTAGTGCTCGACCGTGTGTCAATGAAGAGGCAGTAGAAATGTGTAGACATTCAACTAGCATAGAAGCTGGCTTCAAGGAATAGAGAGAGGTGGTTGATAAAGTCACGTACGAGAGAGGGAGCAACTGAGTTCTGAGCCGAATAGTCCCTGCTCCCTTCCTCTCTTTTTGGCTCTGTTCCCCTACACCCCTTTCCCTCCCACCCTCCCTCTCCTCCATGTTTGTGGTCAGTGTCCAATACAAGTCTGTCCTGAGGCCTCCCCGCTTGTTTCTAGATAAAGAATAACCTGCTGAGAAACCCCTCTATCCTCAGGGGGAGAGGGGGACATAGGTACTAGCTGTGGGAACAAGGGGATATTCAAAATTGATATACACAACACAATAGACACATGAATGCACGCAAACAAGCTCACTCTCATGTAGTCACAGTGCGCACACAAATACACACACTTGTCTTGCGCATACACCTACGGCACAACAACACCCCTCCAGCCGTGATTAAAAATGAATAGATTTTGTGTAATCTCCTGATGTGTAGGCAGACTGCCAGGTCCCTAACAGCCAGAACAGTTCTGCTATGATTGAGTAATTCAACATGGACTGGGGCCGGAACTGGAACAATGCAGAAATGTCACAGGCAAGCGGAGCTGAAATGATTTCTTTTCCTGCGAAAATGCCTCTTCCGTCCAGACGTCCCTCAGTAGATTGGCTCTCTACTGTATTGTGGGCCGCCCATGACTTATTGATGGAATGAGGTTTCCTTCCATCAGAAGCCCAGTGGTGTGTTTTAGAGTCTGTCCGCCCCTAAGGGGTTTCCTTGCAGGGGTCCTTCTAAGGGGTCAGGCTGTCTGCAGGTAAGATGGTCACATGACCATCCCCGGCCGTGCCCACATCATCTCCCCACTACCAGGCTTCCTTTGATCTATTTATACACCCCCTCAGTGCACAAATACTAATTCTCTTTCTTCTATCTTCAGTTGCTTCTCTCTCTCACCCCACCCTCCCTCTGTCTCGTAAGGGAATTACTTTTATCTTAGTGCACTCTACTCTCTGGCACAGTCTGCTTTTGTAAAGATAGAATGAAAGTTTTCTATCACTTGTGTGTTTTCTGGGTCAGCTGTGTTCAGAACAGAGCAGCACCATGCCATCAATAATTCTGATATTGATGGCATATGAAACCTACAGGTTTGACAGATTGTCATTACACTGAGGCACATTTGATATAATGCACCCTTTAACAGTCTCCCCTCCCTGTCTCTGACAAGCGAAACACTTCTCTCTCTCTCTCTATCCATATCACTCACTCTCTCCATCTCCATTGACAGTCCCTGAGAGCCCTGACATCTCCCTCCCTCTCTCTCTCTCTCTCTCCCGCTCTCCCTCCGTATCTTTACCACTCTCTCTTCTCCCATCCTTCCCTGGTACTAGCAGGCTGCAGAGGGCTGATAAGCACAGTCCAGAATTAAGAAATCAACACCCAGGGGGCAAGGAGAGAGGGAGATGAGGGGTTAAGGGGGAACAGGAGTGGAAAAAGTGTAAATCCAATGGAGGAATGGGAAGGCATGGTGGTGAGGTGGAAATGGAGGGTTGAAGAAAACACGATCTCACCCGGTGTTTCCCCAGTGTGTGTTCTGCCTCAAGTTCACAGGAAACCAAATTACACACCGTCTTCATGGTGGTAACTGGTGTGACACTATAAAATGGAGTCGCGCGCACACACAACCACACACACTGTGCCATTCCTCACCTGCTCCTACTGATGTCCTATGATGATCACTCATAAGGAGCAGCGGAAACACAACTGTCAGCCCCCTCCTGGCACAGCCGGTTCCGCCAGCCGTGTGAGTATGAGGTGAGTGTGTGTGTAATCAGTGTTTATCACTGCTCTATCATTATGTTTTATGAGACAGGATGCACGTGTGGGCCTTAGTGTTTTTACCCTGGGTGTACCAAACATTAGGAACACCTGCTCTTTCCATGACATAGACTGACCAGGTCAAAGCTATGATCCCTTATTGATGTAATTTGTTAAATCCACTTCAATCAGTGTAGATGAATGGGAGGAGACAGGTTAAAGGATTTTTAAGCCTTGAGACAATTGAGACATGGATTGTGTATGTGTGCTATTCAGAGGGTGAATGGGCAAGACAAAATACTTAAGTGCCTTTGAACGGGGTATGGTAGTAGGTGCCAGGCGCACCGGTTTGAGTGTATCAAGAACTACAACACTGCTGGGGTTTTCACGCCCAACAGTTTCACGTGTGTCTCAAGAATGGTCCAACACCCAAAGGACATCCAGCTAACTTGACACAACTGTGGGAAGCATTGGAGTCAACATGGGCCAGCATCCCTGTGGAACGCTCTCGACACCTTGTAGAGTCCATATCCTGACGAATTGAGGCTGTTCTGAGGGAAGGTGTCCTAATGTTTGGTTTACTCAGTGTATATGCATGTACAGACATGCAGTACACTCATAGAAAAAAAGGTGCTATCTAGAACCTTAAAGGGTTCTTCGGCTGTCCCCATAGGAGAACCCTTTGAAGTAGCGCTGTCCACGACAAAAAAAAGATCTTAGTCGACCGAGAGTTGTCTGTTCTTTCGACCAATCGATGGTCAAAATATAATTTTATTTTTCCATGTATAGACACACCCTATGTTTGAATAAAATAAACTATACAGTATGTAGGCTCCTGAGCTTGTCTGATGCTTTAAGCACTGCGATTAAAAATTAAGACACACAAATTACTAAAGAGGAAACCAGAGATCAATTTAGCCTAACCAGAAGAAAAAAACCTGTTTCCGACCCTCCTACTCCCGCTGCTGCTGGCCTTTGCAGATTCTGCCATTACGCTCCTAAAGTTGCCGGTAATAGGCTACACCAGCGGTTGGCAACCTTTTCTATTTGGAGTGCCAAGTTATCCCATCATTTCTATCCCATCATTTCTACTCATCTGCATGCCAGTTGTGATTTTCATATGCACATTTTCATGGAACAGTTTCATTTCATTTATAATAAAGTCTTCATTCCTCAAAATCAATGTAGTTAATCAAAATTATATATAAATAAAAATGATACAAATCTAAAAGTAACTTCTACTGCCATTGCCAATATGTAAAAATAGCATACATAAACCAACAAATAAAAACATTGCTGCCTGCAGGTAGAAAATATCCTGATAAAAAGAAATATCCTAAAAATCACATTGGCCACGCATGGCCTGTCTGCAAGAAACTTGAAACTTTGTATCAAGTATTAACTTGGTCCAGCCCGATCGTGCTAGCAAACTTGCAACATTGTATAAAATATTCTGGGCCCTCAGAGTTTCCCGCACCAGTGAGCTCCAGACAGACAGACACAGCTGTAGACTATATGCGCAAGGGATAAAAAGTAATCAGGTAGGCCTATTTTATGACGTTTCCATCGGATCAGAGCATTACATTTTTCCCCCCTTTCATGGTGACTGGTTATCGAAAGGGAGAGAGCTGGAAAGATTTTTCAAATAGGCTACATTGAGGAACTATTGTCATTCCCAATTGATGTAAAAACAGACTTTGTTTACTTGCTGTTTGAGGCGAAGGAAAAATTACTTTGAGAAGCTAAACAGTGATGGTAAGTTAAGACAATCAGAAATATTATCAGATCCCCAAATTGGCATATTTATAAGCCTACATTTGCACGCAGGCCAGGTAGTCTAGGCCTAGTTCTATGTGTAATCAGGTGCGTGTCCTTACTCAAGATTGACAGGAGCGCTCTAAACAAAAGACAATTAATACATTGATGAATCACAAGTGTAGCCTAGGTTGTGCGCTCTGCAAACAACGTGTCCACTCCTACAATGACAACGGCAAGACTGTAATAATAATAATATATTGAATGCATTAATGACCATAATCAAACAAACATTGTAGATTAGAAATGATGGGAATTAAAGGTAAATGTACTGCAGGTGATACTGGTGTTCCACCCCCGCGGCCTCCGCAATGGACTAGTCCACCGAGACAGGCGTGAATCAGACAGGTGTCTCGTGTGCCATAACATTGTTTTATATATATTTGCCACTGCTCGACAAAAAAAATCTCGGCCGACCAACAGCCTATCGACCAAACAATCAACGAGTCGACTAAATGGGGTCAGCCCTACTTTGAAGAACCGTTTTTGGTTGCAGGTAGAACCCTTTTGGGTTCCATGTAGAACCCTTTCTACAGAGGGTTCTACATGGAACCCAAAAGGGTTTTTACCTGGAACCAAAAACGGTTCTCCTATGGGGACAGCCAAAGAACCCTTTTGAAAAGTTTTTTTTATCTAAGAGTGTACAGCCCATCCAACAGTAAATGGAGGTTATCATTGAGATGGGGCTGACTGAACACACACGCCACACACACACACACACACACACACA